TGACGTGAAGGAGAAACTTCGACGTGAGAGAGAAACGTTGACCAATGCCCGCTGCTGGGGATTCAACCTGCAGCCTGTGGGGTACTGGATGGCGCTCCAACCAACTGAGCCACTCGGTGAGGGCTTTCGTTTTATTATTAAATTTATGGGGGTGACACTGGTTAATAGACTCATGGTCAGGGCTCTTTTAAATGAAAGTCAAGGCTTTTTTTTTTTTATCCTCACCTGAGGACACTTTTCCACTTTTTGTCCAGGTAGAGTGGGAGGGAGAGAGAGGAAGGGAGAGAGAGAGAGAAACATCAACGTGAAAGGGACACATCGAGTGGCTGCCACCGCACGACCAACCAGGGCCGGGGACAAACTGCAACCGAAGTACGTTCCCTCAGCGGGAACCGAACCCAGGTCTCTCGGGACCGCAGGCCGACGCTCCAACCGCTGAGCCAAACCGGCCAGGGCAAAAGTCAAGGCTTTTTTAAAAAAGTACTCGATTAGCCCTGGCCAGTTTGGCTCAGCAGTTAGCATTAGCCTGTGGACCAGAGAGCCCCGGGTTCGGTTCCTGGTAAGGGCATCTACCTTGGTTGCAGTTTGTCTCCAGCCCCGGGTGGGGTCATGTGGGTGGCAATCACTCGATGTGTCTCTCTCACATCGACATTTCTCTCTCTCTCTTCCTCCCTCTCTCCCTCCTGCTCTATCTGAAGATAAATGCAAAAATGTCCTCGGGTGAGGATAAAAACAAAAAGTACTCGATTATAATTTTTCAAAGAAAAATGATAACATGACTTTGTGTCATTTACAAAACATTTCATGAGTGTGCTTTCCTAGTGACTAGCCACACCCGAGGAAACACTTATCAACAGGGAGCTGAGGCCCAGGCACTTGCTGGGGTCACCCCACTGGCCGGCGGTGGCAGCTCAGGGCCCTGCCCCCACACCGGCCTGCCTCCTTTCCCAGGAACTGCCTTAGCACAGGAAACACCAAACTGCCTCCTAACCTCTGGGAAAACTCTTTGGTATAGAAAAGGCTGTTCGGTGTCTGGATGATCCTCAAGACATTTAGAACCCAAACACCTTTCACAGTGATTTGTAAATGACTTTCCACCAGTTCTGACAATGAAAGCACACGCAATTGTTACGAATTTGTCACTGGGTCTTAAAAAACTAAAAATTTCACTGATACAACGCCTAAGGCAGGAGAAACAGAAAAAAATTAATACATGGGACTACATCAAACTAAAAGCTTCTACACAGCAAAAGAAACAAGCATCAAAATGGAAAGGGAACCCACTGTATGGGAGAGCATAATTGCCAACGATATATCAGATAAGGGGTTAATTTCCAAAATATATAGAGTGCTCATACAACTCAACAAAAGGAAGACAGAGAACCCAATTAAAAAATGGGCAGAGGGCCTAAAGAGACACCTCTCCAAACAGGACATACAAATGGCCAAGAGACATATGAAAAAATGCTCAGTGCCATGAATCATCAGAGAGATGCAAATTAAAACAACTATGAGGTATCACTTCATACCTGCCATCAACAAATCATCAAACAACAAGTGCTGGCGAGGGTGTGGAGAAAAGGGGACTCTAGCACACTGGAACACTATGCAGCTGTAAGAAAGAAAGATCTCGTACCTTTTGAGACAACATGGAGGGACCTGGAAAGTATTATGCTAAGTGAAACAAGCCAATCAGAAAAAGACAAATATCACACGATCTCACTTATTTGTGGAATATAATGAACAAAATAAGCTAATGAACAAAATAGACCGAGACATAGAAAGGAGTATGGTTCAGACTGACAAGCCTGAGAGAAGGGGGATGAGTGGGGGGCAGATAAACCAAAGAACTTACATGCATGTATACGTAACCAATGGACACAGACAACAATGCTGGGGTGGGGGACAGGATTGGGAGGAGGGTGTCTAGGGGGAAAAAAGGAGAAACATCTGTAACAAATATTAATTTAAAAAATACTAAAATGTCTTGAGTTGGAATAGCATCACTGAATTAAAAATAGGACCTCATTGGAATATTCCTTTGCTTAGGATGCTTGCAATATACTTATACAACTGAAACATCTCCGTGTACTTCCGCCTCAAGGTCAAAGGACTAATGAAAGGCTGCAAAATGAGAGAGGTCAGATTTGCTGGTACTTAAACACGCAGTCCCAGCAGAATCAGTGGGTTTATATACCATGTTACTTCCAAAATGGGTTTCAGCTGGCTTAATAATATGATACATAGAACATAATACTTGTAATAAAGTAAAAATAAAATGCAGACTTGGAGACAGAAGATATGTGGCTGACTGCATATCCCTGGCTCCTCTCCCTCCGGGCCCCGAGACGACCACATATTTGAGATCAGAGAGTGAGAGTGTGCGTGCTTTGTTTTCAATGTGTTTTGTTTCCAAGCACAAAGAGGAACTCCACAAAAGCTCAGGGCTTTGGGTTCCAAGGGAGTTTACAAGGGTCAAGTGAGCCTTCGGTGATACACTGCAGGGGGCAGTGGTGAGGTGGTTTACACATGGCCAAGGCCTCGCAATTAAAAAGCAGACGTGAGACTCTAGAAGCTGGGTCAAATGCACCATACCCTCAACTGCTTGACAGGACCCGGCCAGCCTGGCAGAGTGCAACCCCTCAGCATGTCAAAAAGAAATGCTTGTTTGCTCAAGCACACGTTCCCAGAAGTGGTGAATAAGCTGATACAGGTACGCCTATTCATTCTGTGGCTATCAGCTGGACTGCAGGTAGGTCCAGATCCTTCCAGATTGCCAGGAATGTGTGCGATTTTACTTTATTTATTTTATTTATTGATTTTAGAGAGAGAGGAAGGAAGAGGGAGAGAAATAGAAACATCGATGAGAGAGAACAACGATTGGCTGCCTCCTGCATGCCCCCACTGGGGATCAGGCCCACAACCTAGGCATGTGCCCTGACCAGGAATCGAACTGGCGACGTCTTGGTGCATGGGTCAGTGCTCAACCACTGGGCCACCCCAGCCAGGCTATGCGGTTTATCTTAGAGCCTAGCTTCCTAGGAGCTGCCCTGGGTTGAAAGAGCTTACTGTTCAGCCCATGGTTGATCGAGGTTGTGCAGAAGGCCCCAGTGCCAGGGGGACAGATCTATGCCACTTGTTGATGGATCTGCGTGTAGCTTGGAGAATGTTTTCCAATGTGCTCCCTGCTGGTCTGATGGCTCATGAGTGCAGTTCCCAACCCCCGGGTAGATCAGTTATTAAGTTATTAAGTTATAACTGATCATCTATTGATCAGTTATTAAGTGCTAAGTACTTAGTTCTTACCTACAGAGTTATCCAGGGCTTATGGTATTGGTCCAACACTCCAGGCTATTAAGAGGCAGGATTCAGACTGGAAGGCCATAGATCACACTGCCTCCCGCATACAGTTACCAGACTGTGCCCAGGTCATTAGGGCTACTGACAATGGTAGAGAGACTCATTTCTCTGGGGAAATGTTTCATGTGATCCATTATTCTTATTTCCCTTTTGGAATTTCAGAGTTAACTGTTTTATTATAAAATACTGCTCTTTTACTAACAATTTTATTATTAGCTAGTATTTCTTTCATGCACCTAAATGAAATTTCTGTTGGCTATAATTGAAGGTCTTAACCTCAGTTTTTGCTTTTCATAGACGCTCATCAATTCTTCTACCAATTTGCTAAGCACACTATTTTATGTCAAATCAACCATTACAAAATACGTAATATCTGTTCATAGGATGTGCAGGGTCTGGCCAAATGAGTAATGGCAAAGAACTTCTTTATTCTAAATTTTACTTCAAGAGTAATCGGATTTCTTGAGAGAGTGTGAAGGTTAACTTGATGTGTTAACTTGGTTAGGCTATGGTAACCGGTTTTGGGTCAAACACCAGTTTAGATGTCATTGTGAAGGTGTTTTGTAGATGAGTAACGTGTATCAGTAGGCTGCGAGAAAAGCAGATTACCCTCCATAATGGTGACGGGCCTCATTCGACCGTTGAAGTCTTAAGGAAAAACGAAACAAAACTGTGGTTCCCCTAGTAAGAAGGAATTCTGTCTCCAGGATGATTTCAGACACAAGATTGGAACATCAGCTTCTGCCGTAATCTCCAGCCTGCCAGGAGCCAATTCTGTAACATCGCTCTCCCTACCCCGCTCTATGTGTACATACACGTACACGTACACACACACACACACACACACACACACATTTTATTGGTTCTGTTTTCTGGTGAGCCCCTACTAATACAGAGAGAAAAGAAGAAGAGGAGAACATTGAGGCAGAGAAGCAGGAATATTTCCGAGATACTTTTCTGTGCTCACCCATGATTGCCGATCTCCATACTGGGAGTCTAGAGGTACACACGTGAGGCCCCAGATTTCCTACCTGAACTCCACTTTTGAATGTGGAAGCGCAACAGTTTCTCATAACCAAACTCTTTGCCCTTTTCTCTCGATACAGATCCCCGCTACCTTCCTTCTCCTGTACCCCAGTCCGAAGCCCTGTGTAGGAGCGGGAGTGTCCTGGCCCGTGCGGCTCAGGGGCTGAATGTCCGCCCATGCACCGAAGGGCTGTGGGTTTGATTTCTGGTCAAGGACACGTACCTGGGTTGCAGGTTGGATTCCCAGCCCAGTCGGGATGTGTGGAAGAGGCAATCAATCAATGTGTCTCTCTCCCCGCGCCTCCCTCCCTTCTACTCTCTAAAATTCAGTGGAAAAAATATCCTCAGGTAAGGATTAACAACAACAAAAAAAGTGAAGGTGCTAAACTATTCACAATAATTTGATACTTAACAGGATGACACATCATCCAGACTCATGAAATAAAATTCAGATGTTCAATGTGGAATTAAAGTATACTATTCTATTAGTTTCTTTTTCTTCTATGCTTGAAAATAAAAATTGAGCTAATGATGGGTTCCTTGAAATAAAACATACTAAGCACTTCGTGAACATTCTGAAAAGAAGTATTAAAGACAAGTACTTCATTTCTCACCATTTATGAGTCTCTGTTAGTGAATTCTCCTCTGCCTCCTGGTCAATTTTAGCTGGAAAAAAAAAAAAAAGATAACAGATAAAATGATAAATAGTTATACTCACGCAAGTATAATCCAAATAATATATAATTCATTATTAATTCAAATGTACTCTAGCCAGAGGTTTATCTTAAATCTATAAATAGATATAATTAAATAGATGATGTTTAATTTTCACCAAGTTACTACTATTATATTGCCACAGATAAAATATATTATATAACCAATTAAAAATTTTAGATTCTAAGCAATTTCTTTTTTTTCTTAGTAATTTCTTAAAATCAGTCACATTAACCTGAGAAAACAAAACACTAGCTAATTTCATATGCATTTCTACTGTGTTTGTCAAAAATTAAATGCCAATAATTAGTTGAAATAATTATTTCAAGCAAAGGTACACAAACCAAGTCAAAAACTAAATAGAAATGGTACATGACCTTCTTCATAAAAGCTCTCCACACAAGTGGAAAAGGTGCAAGATTGCCCTGGCCGGTTTGCTAAGTGGTTAGAGCATCGGCCCACGGACCAATGAGTCACAGATTCAGTTCCCGTCAAGGGCACGTACCTCGGTTGCAGTTCATCCCTGGCCCTGGCCGGGGTCAGGTAGGAGGCAACCAGTCAATGTGTCTCTCTCATGTAGATGTTCCTCTCTCTCTCTCCCTCCACTCTGTCTGAAGATAAATAGAAAAATGTCCTTGGGTGAGGATTAAAAAAATAATAAAAATAAAGCTGCAAGATAAAACGCTAACATTTTCCATTAATTGAAAGTGGGAAGGTTATCATGCACACATTTATTTGCTATTATTTTTGTCTAAAAATAAAGAAGGATAGTCAGACACAAACCCAAAGATCAAATTTGGAAACGAGATTACCTCGCTGTTTTCAAATTATTTAAAATAACATAGAAATTGCATCACAAAGAAACTAGGGCCCTGCCTGTCAGGTTTTCATGGGAAGCATTCTAGGAACATCTGTATTACTTCCACATGCGCACACACACAGATTTTTGACACAGAAGTGTTTTTTTTTCATCAACGTGAAAGGGACACATCGAGTGGCTGCCACCCGCACGACCACTAGGGCCGGGGACAAACTGCAACCGAGGTATGTGCCCTTAGCAGGAACCGAACCCGGGTCTCTCTGGACCGCAGGCTGACGCTCTAACTGCTGAGCAACCGGCCAGGGTAACATAGAAGTTTTAAAAATACTTTTACTTCATGCAACGGTCTCTAATATTTTTAGTCTATTCTATTAGGTTTTAAAATGTTAATTGTGACCCCTTCAATTGATTTCACGCTTTACTAATGGTCTGTGAAACATTTTGAAAATCACTTGAACTATAGAACAAAAAGTTTAAAAAAGTAATTAAGAAAACAAAGCCTGGACTAGTGAAAGCAGAAGTAGTCATTTTATAAGCATGCTCCTTTGGGTCACACTTGTGGCCATTTGGAGAAATTAAAAGACAAAGTGGAACAGAGAAAATTAATTATGAAGAATTCGAACTGTGCACAAGATCAGACTCGCGGTCACTCGGCAATTGTCAAAGTGTCTCTATCACTACTTTAAACACAATGGTCCAGCTTGGGCTGGTTAATGTTTTGCAACCTCAAGCCAGTGTTTGCTGGAAGGTCTGTTCCGTATCTGCAAAGCCGAAATCGAGTGAGTGACATGCTGTCACTCTGTGCCAGGATGCTTAGACTTTCAAAGGGATCATTTGAGCTGGAATAGAGGGTTTCCCCCTTTCCCTTTTGTACGTTAGATTGTTTACTGAAGCTTATTGGGCAATCATTCGCCATACGAGAAAACACCATTTTACTTTGAAAAGGCTCCAACATGAACATATTGTCTTATACCCTCTGCTCCAGGCTGCCTGGCGTGAAAATGCTTTGCTTCCAGGAGCCATTCTGGGGCCACATACTGTTTGTTTGAGGAAAAACAATACAGCACCACAATGCACATTCTTTTTTTTTTATCCTCACCCAAGGACATTTTTCCATTTTTTGTTCAGATAGAGTGGGAGGGACAGAGAGGAAGAGAGAGAGAAACATCGACGTGAAAGGGACACATCGAGTGGCTGCCACCCGCATGACCCAACCAGGGCCGGGGACAAACTGCAACCGAGGTACATGCTCTTAGCGGAACCGAACCCGGATCTCTCTGGACCGCAGGCCAACACTCTAACCGCTGAGCCAAACGGGCCAGGGCTGCATATTCTTTTTAGTAAGGATATTCTTCCAATGGCCTTTGCACATCTCTTTGTGTGTGTGTGTGTGTGTGTGTGTGTGTGTGTGTGTGTGTGTGTGTGTTTTCCTTTGTAAAATACAGACTAAGACGGCCAGTATTCTATTCCTCTTTGAGCTGCTAAAATGAGCCATGTAATATTAGGCAAATAGATTTAACTGTTACCATGTAAAAATATTTAGTATAGTGTCCCCGATAAATTAGCAGGGTGTAAATAAATGTCCTTTGAAAATGTGGGACTTCACTTCCTTGAAATTCTTCGAGTGATATAATACATGATTATGTTTAACTGAATACATTAACTGCTGGTTCAATATTATATGCAGATAAAGAAAGCATATACTTCCAGCTTTTCAAAAAGCATAAGCCCCTAAATTGTGGTGAGCGGAATAAAATGAGTTTTACTTGTTCATAATGGTTCCCTTTGATATGTAATAAAAATCTCTTGCTTCACTCTATGAGCAGTTTAGCTGAAAAAACACTTCAATCCAAAGGGGCAGAAGACTGATTTTTACCAAAACAACAAAACATAAAAACAGACCATTTTCCCAAACCTAACAGCCTATCATCAAACCAAATTGGGATAGCAGAGAATACTTTAAAATGTCCTATTACCCCTGATTTTTAAGCTATGGGGATATGTGTATTCAAACTGTAATCAACTTTGATAAACAAATTCAAGATCAAGGAGAGGGCATCGAAGTACACATTTCAACTCAGTGTAGAATCAACAAATCAGGGAGTTATATAGATTTTTCTTTGTAGGGCACTCTTAGAAATAAAAACTTCCTGAAAAGTCGGGGTGCAATGCGGTTTTCTGAGCATGAGATGCCATTCTCCAACATAATGCTTGTATAAATGTGGCATGAACATTTTGTCGTGACAATTGTTATAAATACACCTGTGATGTGAACTTAGTGACAAATGGCAGGATCCAATTCCTTCAATTAGCAAGGAGGAAATCTACTAAACTAAACTAAAATGTAAATAAGTTAGTGAAAATGAAGATACCTTTTAGGAATATAATGAGCCTAATTCTGCCATTTACTTAGGGAGCACCCAAGGTAGTCATGTGCAGTGACCAAAATCTTAGATCAGCTGTGTTTTCCAGTTTGAGTAAAAACTTGGACAGGCCACTCGTGTTATATGCACAGCTTTTCAAACTGCTACAGAAGGTGACATAAAAATAAATTATTTTCACCCTGGTCAGTGTGGCTCAGTTGGTTGGGCATCATCCCGTGCACCGAAAGGTTGCTGGTTCAATTCCCCATCAGGGCACATGCCTAGGTTCTGGGCTAGATCCCCGGTAGGGGGACTAGGGAGTATGCAGGAGGCAGTTGATCAGTGTTCTGCTATCACACTGATGTTTCTCTCTCTCTCCCTTCCTCTCTCTCAAAAAAAAAAAAACAATGAAAATATTTAGAGAAAAAATAGATTATTTTCTATATGTAAATATTTGTATCAATAATTTTATCTATCTTATTCCCTGACTTACCTTTTCAGAAACATAAAAAAATATTTTCAGTTAATGCTCTTGGTGCAGACAGCTCTGTGATCAGTTTTAAGAACCGCTGCTGTTCCTAATAGTTACACTCTGCTATCAATGATCTCTAATAAAATATGCTAAGTAAACTATACAAGACGAGATATAAAAGATTCCAGTTTTCTACTTCAAGTAAAAAAATTTTCCCGTTCTTTCTAGCACCTATTTTTTTTGGACATATTAAACAAGGGTGGTAGCCTTGGTTGTTCATGGGATTGGTTACTATCGGAAAACTGAACTAGCATTTAAAATAGACCAACAGGAACAAGTCTGGATTTGTTGGGCTTTTCAAGTTGTCACCCAATCACCCTGTGCCACAGCCTCTCAGAAAACCTTGACCACTTTCCACAGAGGCTCATAATGGACAGGGGCCTCCCTGGCTCCAGACTCCTGGGAACTGTCCCACACACACTGTATGAAAAAGCTACACTTCCTTGGCAAGGTGCTCTTAGCACTCAGACTCGCATTTTCAGATCCCATCAAAGCCAGCGTTGGGGCTAGAATATGAGGTTCAAAGTCACAGAGACCCGGTGTGAATTCTAGATCAGCCACTAAGTTGTGCGAGATTTTAATAACGTTGCTAATCATCATCAAATGGCTGTATCATTAAAACAGGGTGACGGTTTCTTTTTCAGGAAGAGTAAGTGTCACAGCTTGTTTTATTGCGCTTAATTAATTTTCACAGACATGGCACTTTTCACTGACTGCAGGCTTGTCCAACCCTACATGGAGCAAGTCTATCAGCACCCTTTTCCAACAGGCCCAGATGATATCTTTAATTAAGGTATGCACATTGTTTCTTTTTTTTTTTTTTTTTTTTTAATCCTCACCCAAGGACATTTTTCGATATTTTGTTCAGGTAGAGTGGGAGGGAGAGAGAGAGAGAGAAACATCGACGTGAAAGGGACACATCGAGTGGTTGCCACCCACACGACCCAGCCAGGGCCAGGGACAAACTGACATTGTTTCTTTTAGACATAATCCTATTGCACATTTAATAGACTACAGCATAATGTAAGCATAACTCTTTTTTTAATATATTTTTATTGATTTTAGAGAGAGAAGGAGAGATAGAAACATGGATGGGAGAGAACATTGATTGGCTATCTCCTGCTTGCCTCCACTGGGGATTGAACTTGCAACCCAGGCATGTGCCCTGACCAGGAATCGAACCAGCCACCTCTTAGCGCTTGGGTCGACGCTCAACCACTGAGCCACACCAGCCGGG